TCACTTTAAGCACTGTTTTATGAAAGTGCAAAGGGTTTACTGTAAAATGACACCAAAACTGTGTATTTAGGCCAAAGTATGTGGGAATGGGAAGCTTTTTAATTTGGGTAGGCCAAATCCAGGCGGAAATCCCCCAAAATGGCAAGGATTGTAAGAGGTTAATAACCACTAATACTGCATAGGGGGAAAAACTACTAGTCATATATTTCAAACCTTAGTTAAGCAAAATTATCTTGCATAATCTCAGGTATCAAGAGTAAAAGTGAGGTATGTATTCTGCAGGAGAAAATTACTACTGCAATACTGTGTATGTTGCATTTTACTTCTGAATATTTTCAAGGTTGATGCATTTAAACTATATACTTTTGTGTAGTTTAATGTAAAACAATCCATCATAATGGGAAAAAAATCATTGTGGTGTTGCTGTCCTGTGTGGGGGAAAAATACTTCACATTTGTACATGAATATTAACAAACTATGTAGTTCCTTACATTCCAACACTGGTTATTTTGAAAATGAAAGTAACAAAATGTAGGCCTTTTGTCACAACATTAACAAATTGTTTGCTAACTAAAGCTGCGTCCCATATCAAAGTGCGCATCTGAAGCGCTCGGACCGGTCTAGCCTACGGACTGTTCTTGTCGCCTAGTAACGTTTGCACTGGACTTTTTTATATTCAACTGGGTTTTATATTCAAATAGGGTTGAAAAATATATTCGCCATGGTCCATTTATGTACATAATAAAAATAATACACTAGCCTACAAAATTGCATCAAGGTAAGATATAAGTGAATATTTGAACCTTATATAGCCTATATATATATATATATATATATATATATATCCTATGTATGTTTTCTTTTCTTTTCATTTACGTAAGTTAACACCCAATACTTGAACAGTTTAAAGTGTAATCCTGCAATTCAGGACGCAGCCTCTGAATTGGGACGCATGGCCATGGTCTTGGAACTGGTTACTGGTACTGATACTGGTTCAAAGGTATCAATTATGTACTTTATTAACTGTCCCTCAAAAAAAAGGGAATTTGAATCGCCAGGATACCAAAATCCTTTGAAACTTACTGATTCATTGAAGGTTAAGTTGGGCATATTGAACGTGCAAAACTGAGTGATATCAAGTCTGTTAGTGTTAGTGTAGAAAACATAATGACCTGGCTTTATGGCAACAATTGATAATGGGGAAAACAGTTAAATGTCAGTGGTGTGATAAGAGGAGTAATTTTAATAAACTCAGAAAAGAGACACTTGAAAATTGTAATGCCCATAATACCCAATGGGTGAGTGCTTTCACTTGGTATTTGAGGAAATAATGGATGAACTGGGATTCCATACCATCATGCTGAAAACGTTTCTTAAGTCATTCGTCAATCCTGCAGCCTCACAGTGTTCCCTGATCTTTTTGACGAATTATCAGTAAGAAAGCAGAAACAATAACTTAAGTTTTTTTCTCCCTTTTTCTTTCCACCCTTTTCTCTCGTTAACCCCTTATTATACTCAACTATTGCAAAGTATTAAACTAGATGGCAGTAATGCACTGTTTAGTGCGATTGCCAATAAAAGTAGAAGTGTAAACTATGTGCCAGAGATGGGGTGCTTCTCAATATCCCTTGTTTCCTCGCTCCTCCGTCCTCCATCCTATGACCAATGCTGCGTTCCAGTCCAAAATTGTCATGCCCTTCACTCGCTAACTTATACTTATTATGTCATAACTTATACTGCCCTTATATTTCGGCCAATATTATAGGAATTATAAAAACGTTCCTCCAGTGCGAAATACCCTTTTGTCTCCAAGCGAGACAAGTGAATGACTGTCATAAAAGGGTTCATTACGAGACGCTTTCAAGACGGTGTATGTTGTGGCCATCTGGTGGTCAAATAATGAATCTCACCTTTGTGTCTGACCAATTAAAATGAAACAATTGTTGTAGCAGTACACGAGTAGGCCTACAGCCAGAAAAGATGTAAATGTTCAATTTAAAAAACATCTTTGAGAACAATTTAGTGCCATTTACAACATGATAATGACATTAGGCTATACTAATATTACACCTACCATAAATATTAACACTGAACGTCTTTATTAACTCCTTGTTCATAATAGTCCTACATTTATAGACTCCAGTGTGTTCTAATAGTCAAAAAGAGACCTGTAATCATGTTTAGAGTTGCTTTAAGATAAAGATGTAGGATGCAAATAATCTTAAACTGATATCTGTTCTCTGATCTGAAGCTAATGTTTGCAGATGTTCTCAGTTCTTGTGGTTTATTTTTAGCATCTTCTCTTCTCTGAGGTTATTAAAGGCCCTATCTCAAGAATAACAGAGAAACTCTCCCTCATTTCCAAACCTCACAATAGAAGCTCAATGGACAGAGGAACTGTCTTGACTCAAGTTTACACTTCAATTCTGTTTGTGTGCTTATTTTCTCTTCTCATTTCATATTGACTGAACTTTAGTTTTGTCATTTTGAGTTCTCCTACATCCTGTAGATGTTTGACAGTAGATCTGTCTCAGCGGACACAAACTGACCCTTAATGTTCTAAGAGTTTTAAAATGCTACTTTATTTTGGCATTTAATTGCCTAATATTGGATTCATCACTTTGTTGTGACATTCTGCATTATTTTTCTTCCATCTATCCATCAATTCTCCATACCGCTTGTCCTATAGGGTCACATTAGGGTCTATGCAGCATCTTGGGCTGTATAGGCAGAGGAAACACCCTGAACAAGTGGACAGTCCATAGCAGGACTATTTTTTGTTTGTTTGTTTGTTTATGGTAATTAAGGTATTAAACTAAATATAGGCCTAAGTTTTTTTTTTAGGAAAACTGAGCATAGCTTGTAACTTAATTTATTGTGGGACATCACTTGTGTGTATTTTTGGTGTATTGTCATGTCTTATTAGGTTAAAATTTTAAATGATTCAACATTTTTTATATTTTCAAAGCCCTTGCATTTTTAGACATATCATTGACGGACTGATGTTGACCGTAACTGCAGTCACGCTCAGCAAAGCAGAGGCGACCGCTTTCTTTATTTCTTATCCGTTGGACAATAGACTGTTTGGACCGCTTTGAATTAGTGTGACATGACTCACTCTTTCGCATAAATCGCGTGACCGGGTCGGTTTGCTACGAGTCATCAATATCCTGCTGTATCCCTTCTGGATCCTTTCTGGATTCGCTTGGATGCGGCCAGAAGCGGCATCAGTATGAGGAACCTTTCCTTCTTTTTGGGGGCTTTATTGCTCGTGGACGGTGAGTCACATTAATTTCCATTAATTCAACACTTTTAATTCAGTGTTTAATTCAGTGTTTTATTTCATTCAGAAATAGAAAATGCGCATTTGCTCTTAATTGTCATCTAATTTGCTTGTAGCCTATCACCATTGTTTCTTAAAAACACTTTTATAACTTTTCTACAAATAGATGTTGTGATAAATCACAGTGTAAAAGTGACAACGCCATTATAAGGGTATTTTGGGGGGTAAGTTTGTTTGTGCGTGTGTGTGTGTTTGGTAGTGAACACAAGAGGGCGCCGACCTGTAGGCCTAATATTCTGCAAAACACTTTATTTTTTATGTACACTTTTTTTGTGTGTGAATAATAATAATAATAATAATAATAACAACAACAATAAGCTCATGAATATTGGCTACTGTTTTAGCGGAATACAAAATAAAAATCACACGTAAATCGGCATAAAAGTGTCTGTGTCTCTTTCCTGTCTGTCGGTTATGGGTGTGGCTCAGAATCGCCCAACAGCAGGTGCACATTAATTATATATAATAATATTAACTTCTCATTTATCCAGTTAGATGTCCCTGAAACATATATTAATATGGATTACTTAAAAAAACGTTTTCGTTATTTGAGGTAGACTATTCTGTGTCACTATAGTCCACACCAGAAATAGAAAACTAGTTGCATATCTTCATCAAGCACATAATTATCGTTAAGCTATTTGCCTCAAAAGTAGATCGAGCTCTGTTGTTTCTGCTCCTGTAACCGCTGGGGTTAGTTTGAATTATTGTGCTAAGTTTTCCTTTCTAATTATTATGCAATACAAACTCCACCTTTGTTTCATAAAAATATTTTGATAAAACCATGTAAACAAATGGTAAAATTTTGCATTCAAAACACTACAATTTGTAACAAATATAGGCTATAACACATAGACTGTGATGGAAACAAATATGAGATGGGAGATAAAATTAGCCTAAATGTTATGCAATTTTTTTTTCACTTGCAAAACATTTGCAGATCCATTTTTTGGCAATTCCTGAAATTGTACTTTTACCTCAAACCTGTTTTTTTATTCTGTAAATTCTTGATAGGCTATATTTTTGGTGAGTCACAACTTCTGTCCTCTGAGGACGCTGGTGCTCATGCATGACTGTGATAACTCTGTTCTTCATTTCTAAGTTAAACTGATGGTGTTTGAACTACACTCTCAGGTCTCCCCTATATCTGTGAAGAACTTTAACACATTCTTTATGGATATATATTATCTGAATAATGCTATTCCAGTATAAGAAACATTTAATATTTTAACAATAACAATTTATTTTGGTTCATTGCATTTTTTTAAATCCAGTGCTTCCAGGCTGCACTTTTAATTTTATTTACTTATTTATTTTTGTGTTTTGTTTGAGTGTTGCATGTGATCTTCCATACACATGCAGCCACATACTTTTTACAATTTGTGTTTTGTTGAAATCACAGGTCACGTCATGTTTCATTTTCAGGAGACATGACACTGATGTAATGGACGTAAAACAATATCCTCACATGAGGCTAGTGTATAAAATGTAAAGTGTGGTTTTATGGTAAATAATAGTTATTTGAAATGGGTATTGGGGAAATTAACTTTTCAGAGTCGGCAAAAGCCAGTTTCAAACTATATAAAACTATAACAGCTTTAACATCTTTAAATTATGTTTTCCCCCACCAGGTGTGTTTGGTGTGAAGAAAGTTGATGTGACAGTGTCAGTGATGAAGGGAGATTCTGTCACTCTAAACCCTCATACTGTAATACCAGTAGATGATACAGCTGAGTGGTGGTTTGGTGGTGAATTCATAGCTAAGATGAATAAAGCAGATGGACTCTTCACTACATCTGGGGGGGATAATGAGGGATTCAAATGCAAACTGATTCTGGACAAGCAGACTGGATCTCTGACCATCACAGACATCACACCTGAACATGCTACTCTATAAACTACAGATCATGAGCACAACTGAGACATCCAAAATATTCAGTGTTACTGTCCATGGTGAGTCAAGTCTTACAATCTGATAACCGGATTCAAATCTAGAATCTCTGAGAACAGTTTAGATGTGGAATAATCAGAGGTGTACTCTTCAAAACTGGTTGTTGTTTTTGTAAATAAAAAAAAAAACAGCTATAAGTGCAAGTTAAGAGAATAATGTGTAAAAAGTGAAATATATAAAAAAATAATCATGGTTCATTTTCATTGAAAAATAAGGTGATAATAAAAAATAGTGTGTATATTTTAAGATAATTGTGGTTCAGTTTTGCATGGGGTTCAGGGTTTCACTATTAAAACCAAGAGATAAATTACCTATTTTTTTAAGGAAAAACAATGCTACTGTTTACTGTTTGTAAACTACATTGGCACAATAAGAGATGAACCAGTCAAAAGTTCTTTGTGATCGAACACAGTTTCTCAGGTGATGCTAAGCAAAGATTTTCTGAAAGAACGCAAAAATATTTTCAAAAAGTTTAATCTGGATCAGAATGATCTGGATTTGGAAATACCATGTTTTGCTTCCGAGAAACTTTGCGTCCGCTCGCAAATAACTTTTGGCTGTCATCTCTTATTTGCCAATGTAGTTTGCAAAAAGTAAAAAAATCGCGTTCAAATAAATATAATATTTTGTTTGATATTTACAGCGGTTTGGGGATTATTTCATGGCGCCAAAATTTCTTGATCCTAAGAGCATCTTTAGCTTCAGGCACCATCTGTACAAAGAGTCAAATGAGCAATGATGCTCATGTTACACTTACATTTGAAATATAGTGCAGAATCTGAATGCATTTTGCATCATAAAACACATTATTTTTGCAGTGTCTCAATCAGGTGCCAATAGGAATGAATACATTTAGCCTGAATGTTTAATCTATTACTGTGCAAATGTCTCCAGTAAGACTAATATCATTCTCATATTTAAATGTGTCTCAATATAATTCTGAGCCGTGAAGCGCCCCCTGGAGGAAGAGAAAGGAGAAACTTTTAAACAGATTTTTTTACCTCAAATTGACCATTTTCTATGAAATATTATTGCAATATATTCTGACAATTAATATATATATATTATAAATTATTTCAAAACTTATATATAAATGCATGAATCAATTATTTAAAATAAATTCAGTTGATTACAGTTGCATTAATATAGTCAGATTTTCAGTGTGATCTCAGACTTCTAGACCTTATTGTATACAACTTACAGCATTATAAGAATAATCTGTTTTACACTGATCCTGTTTGTTCTCTATGTTTGTATGACAGATAATGTGGTGTCAGTGTGGAGGGGAATAATGTTACTCTACGCACTGGTGTTACTGATATACAGGGAGATGATCTGATAGTGTGGAAGTTTGAAGATCATGTCATCCCCATTCCACGTTTAAACGGCCCTGTTGTCAAGGAATGGAGAAACATTTATCGGAATGGTACAACTGGAGACCTCACCATCAGTAACATTCGAAACGATCAGTCTGGAAACTATGAAGTCACCACCAGAAGTATGACATTACACAAGACATTCCATATTACTGTTGGTAAGTAGCTCAAACTTTCCATAAGTTTGTAAAATTCTGTTTGATTCTATTATCATATTTAGACCGTGATCACCAGTGAATAGTTTAGATGCTCAAATTAACACTGAAGTTTAGGCCTACACTAAATAGCCTAAACATTATTTTAATGTTAAATATTTGCAAAATAAAGAATGTGTATTACTTTTGATATGCTATGGCAAGGGGTAATGTACAGGCAGCAGAGAATAATGTAAGCAGGGAGCGCGGGGCACAACCTAACGCGGGGTTAAATGTAACAGACCTACATAAAATACTACCGGCACATCCGGGAACTTAACTGTCGATTTCGTCACCGCCCCCTTTTTAGGGGAAAATAAACTAGACTTCCCATAGACTTCAATACAAAACTAGCTCTTTGCACCCTCTCTTGTATGGAGAACTCAGCTGCGGCCGGACATGGTTTGCAGAATAAAAAATACATTACCAACAAATCAGCCAGAAACAAATCTTCATTCACATATTCTTTCCATGTGTTACTTTGTGTTTTTTGAGTGTTATTGTGAGTTGCTCTCTCACTGATATAGCCTACCAGTTGATTTTTCATGTTCGGTTATGTTGTAATGTTAAATATAATGGTAGAATTGTGTGTATTACGACAGACCAGGACCCGATCATATCAAAACTCTGAATATTATTCCTGTTAAATGACCAAGACTGGCAAGTTTGTGACTGTGAGATACACATACACTGTTCGGATGTATGACTCTAAGGGACATTGGAAATCCGAATGAATTCACTAAGATAATCCAACATTGAGATAAATTATATAAATGAAACATAATATATTTGCTTTTCACCTTAAATTCGATGCCTTTATAAATTGGATTCAGATAGTAATTTAATTGGAACTTAATTTAAAGCAGTTTAGAGTTCACAGTTAAGCACAGAAAAGACAGAAAGACAGGAAACCTTCCGCCACTCCATTAGACACCATTGTTGTGCCTGTGGGTGGCCCTTACAGTATAAAAATATTTTTTTTATCATTTCATTTCTTTTTTTAAGCGGAGCGTGGCGCAGTAGCTAAATATCATTGCTATTATTTACAGGTTTGTTTAAACTTCATTAATAGAGTCATGAACTCTCATTGTACCCTTGAGTGCAATACATGACCCCAGTTTTCTCTAATGAAAGTGTCTTTGTAACGAGTAAAAGTGACTGCCAAATGAATACCCTTTTTTTTTTTGGTAAAAGAGCAGTAAAAGAGGTCTCAATATTATATATCTTATTATACAATTCTTGAAATATCTGGCTAAAATTTTATTATTTGTTTTTAAAATGAAGCAGTGATGTGATTTTCAAATAGTATTGATATTTGATTTGTCTGCCAAATCAAAGTCAGTGGATTCATTCTAAATGGTCTAAATCACGTGTGCAGAAGCATTGAAGGGAGAACATTCATGGCCGCCATGTTGTGGGGTTGTTCCGAACTGCTTATAAATGGTTGCTTTGAAGGGCCTAAAACAAACATTATAGGGTTCAGCTGAGGAAGCTTTGCTCTCAAGATTCTTTGCCCTGCATCAGAAGTTATCTGTTTAAACCAATCCTCAATCCTCTGGACAAGGTTTGACAAGAGTAACGTAAAGCAAATCAAACAATCTGCACCTTCAAATGCACTTTGCTTCTATAATCCCTTGATCTGTGGCATAATAAAGCCTTCTTTTTTCTTTCTTTTTTTACAATCCTTAAAAAGGATTTTGCTGTTGTTAAAACACTGCACATTAATTTGAGCTTTTATTGTAATAAAGAAAGAGAAAGAAAAAATTGTAACAAAGAAGCATACAGTGACGTTTAATTTATTTAACAATTCAATTTGCTTTTCTTTACTGGTGCACTGTTCAACTACTGACCTATCCATTCTATTAATTCAGCCAATATATATCAAATATTTATTGATTATAAAGTATAATAAGAAAACAATGTTTTTAATAAGAACCATTTGAAATTTCTTAATACATTTTTAATACAATAATGCAATATGTATTAAGGCCAGCAATGAATTAAAAGGTCAATCAGGCAGTCAATCAACATATAATGTCTTTATTAATGTCAGAATGGCAAAACCAGCTATAAAATTAATGTATCTCTTTAACTCTTACAGAGATCCCCGAGGGTATCGCTTTTTCATCGATCGGGAAAGGGATCGGAATTGGGATCGGGATCCTGTTTGGGTCTGGGATCCTGATCGGGATCGCGATTATGGCTATGGGGTTCAAGATGGGTTGTTTAAAAAAAGCCTAACCCTGCAGGAACAGTAAGTAACATGAGTTTAAAAGGAGTGCAACTCAAGCATGAAAGTTTATTTTAAAGGGGTCATATAATGCCATTTTCATACAAGTTAATTTGATTCTTTAGGGTCTAAATGAAAAGTTTGTAATATACTTTAATTAAATTTTCTCATTAGTATTGTAAGAAAACACTCATTTTACCTGGTCAAAAACAGCTCTGTTTTCAGCACGCCATTTAAGTGCATGTGTCTTTAAAAGATAATGACTCCGCCCCTCTGTTCTGTGGGGCGTTTTGACACAACATACGTGGAGTGTTGCCTTGACAACAGTTGAGGGTATATTTTGGAGAAAGAATGGCAGCGGGAGTCTCTGAGGACACATCTGTGCAACAGTATCAATTTGAACCGGAGTCGGACCCAGAACAAGATGACGTCCCCGAAGAAGTTTGACAATTAAGGCTCGAACAGGACGTTTCTGAATGGTTGGTTAACGTAATGTCACTTTGATCTATCTTTGTATGTACTGGCAGGGTAGAGTAGTGAGATACGAACGCTGTGTGTTTACTGATGTATGTTAGTTCTTTGACAGATTGATGTTACAGTTAATGGTCATGAACAACTTTTTCCACGATTTGCAAAGATTAATATAAAGGTTAATACAACTTTACACTCACTTCTTCTGGAGGTTCAGCAGGAGCACGGATAGTTGGTACCGATTCTTTTTTCAGGAGCAGCTTCTTAGCAAAACCAGCTTTATACTGATACTCGTTTATAAAGCAGTCTGGTGAGAAATGATTCGCGCAAACATGAACGCATTGACGTTGATCGTGGGGAATATTCCCTTTGAAAACAAAACTCAGCCACTGCGTCTTCAGCGGTTTGGATTTAGGAACATTAAAATGACTGCTGTGTTCCTTATTACACCCAAGAACAGAACACCACAATCGCTTGGACGCCATTCTGCTCCAGCGTATCAACAATGGCGGACTTTGATGACAGCTCGCTCAGGGCGGGTCTGTGTTGAAGCGCTGCTGTCAATCAACAATCGTGGGAGGGGCGTCCGACGGCTCGATTTGAGGCAGGGGAAAACATATAAGGAGATGAAAAAAAAAACACCGGATGGATTTTTATCATTATATGATGGTTGTGTACAGGCACTGCCAACACACATTTCAGTACAATCAACTTGAAAAAGTGCATGTACCATTATATGACCTCTTTAAAACTACACTAATGGTTTCATATAGTGTGACTATTAATACTTTTTTATTATCAATGTAAAAATACTCAGACTGATGGGAAAGTAATAGCTACCACTGAAATACCTTTAGCTGAGGAAGATCCTGCTTTTTTATTCCCATCTCTGATAAGCTCAATATCAGTGTTTGGTTGTTTATGTGTAATGTGAATTTATCCAGACATCAAACACCATTCCCAAGAAACACCATTAGTTATAAGTATATGATTTGTGGCCATTTTTATTAATTTCGGTGGCATTTCTGACCCTGCACAACGCCAATTTAAACAAGCGCCAGATCGCTTGTTGTTGTTAAGCTTAAGGGATGGTCTAAGTTAGGTTGACTCTAGATATTTTAACTTATTGTTTAATGTGACAACAGTGACAAAAAACTCTGATGCTTATGGGTAAAAACGATCATTACATGTCTGTCCCCAGTGAATGCAGATAAGTGAGACATGAATGCTGCTCCGCTCCATTTGCCTGGTGCTTGTAACACACTAACATACCAGATTTAACTATTTATCTATAGGCACATTTATACTGCAAATGAAGTGTAAAGTTGTCTATTGATTCTAGTGCACTTCAACAGAAAACAAGACACATGCTGGGTGTCATGACAATGATAACATGGTCTCTGTGAATGTAATTCATGTTCATGTAGAATAGTCACATACATTCCATCAGAACTAACAAAATTAAAATGTACTATATACAAAAGATGTTTAAGGGGGAAAATCATTGATTAGAAAACTTTAAGAAAAGAACATTTAAATTTTTTTTTAAACTGTTCTTAAATTTCGGATTCTAATTGTACCTGCACAGACTGTTTTTATCTGTGGTAACAAAATGATTTAGCATACCCTTGAGTAGGAAATAATTATTGAATTTTATTTTCAAAGGAAAAAAATTAATTTAGTTTCAAATCAAAGCTGAGTTCTGTTTAAAGCACATTGAAGACTAAATATACACATGCAACTGAATGTTCTACTTTATTGTTGTATACGATATTGTATAAAATTGCCTCTATATGGTACATAAAACAAAACAAAATCTGTTATTGGTCACTTTACATGTCAGTCAGGTGGTTCTTCTTGTTTAAGTGGGTTCTTGTCTGCCTGTGATAATAAAAGAAAAACGTTTTTTGCTTCCACCACGGCGAAAAAGCTGCTGGACAAAACTGTAATATGTGTGAGATATGGATTCATTCCTCTAGTTCATTCGGACAACATTACATTATTAACCCAATCTCAAAAACAGCATTAATACAAATAGAAAGACAGAGTAAACTTGTATTGATCTCTAATATATGTCTGTTTTTTCTGTCTTCACTGTCCTCTGTGACACACTAGCCTTCATTCAGATATTAACCTTATAATATTATTTTCTAATGCTTATGTTACATTATAGAGAGTCATTCCTGTCAAACAAGAGGGTAAATTAAGTCAAATAAATTAAAGTAAATTAAGTTTACTAAAACTTTGTAAGTGTTACAGCAGGAACCTGGCTATGTCTGTGCTGATAACACTCAGTATGTTTATGTTACTAAGGCTTTATAAATAAATGTATTAAATAACATCATTAAAAACAATGCTGCATCAATGTTATACGCCGATTTAAGTTTATTTTTCTCATTTTAACTTATTTTCTCTCACAGATACACATGAACCGTGCAACAGGAGACAGGTGATCCTGCTGGTGGAATGGAAGACAAATTGAATAAGGAATCTGACACCAGAAATACACATTAACAGTGTTTGAAGTCAACCCATCTGTGCTTTTGAGATGGAAAACTAATGAGTGAAGACTTTTGTTTGATGTGACATTAACAGAAACATGCTTTTGTTCATTGTAAAGTTGATGTTGTATGACTGGAAGACTGGAAATTAACATTTGAATTTCTCTCTTGTGCACCATTCGAGACACAAGCTCCACCTAAGCAGTCCTAATCTACATCTTTTTCCCTTGAACCCCCATTCCTTGTTCACTCCTTCTCTCATGCTGAGATCACTGGAAATTCACCCAAGAATCTATATAGTTCATTTTCTTTTCTTTATTTTTACAGGCAAGTCATTAAGAACAAGTTCTTATTTACAATGGCAGCCTGACAAGTGAAATAACCACTTAGGGAAAAGGAAATATGGCTAAAATAAATACAGTACATTAGAAATACATACAGGTTAGCAATTACATAAAATACAATTTAAAACACAACACAGTAGACAACACAAAATGATTATGTAGAGAAGCAACTGCATGTGTCCGTGAACAAGGGTGATATAATAGTTTTAAAAGATGATTGAAATTAGTGTATGTTTGAGAATATTTTGCAAAGCATTCCAGTCGCGAGCGGCAGCAGATTAAAAAGAAGCAAGACCAAAAGCATAGTTGGTTTTGGGAATACATAATTGAAGACGAAGCGAGGACTGGGTGTTGTACGTGACAGGGTTTGGCTGCAGCAGGTGACCCAAGTAAGGAGGTGAGCGGCCGAGAAGGGTCTTATAAATGAAGGTGAACCAGTGAATTTTGCGACGATTGTGAAGGGAGGGCCAGTTGACAGATGAATATAAAGCGCAGTGGTGTGTATTGAAAGGAGCATTTGTGGCAAACCTGATAGCAGAATGGTAAAGAATTAGGGATGTCCCGATCAGGTTTTTTTGCCCTCGAGTCCGAGTCCGAGTCATTTGATTTTGAGTATCTACCGATACCGAGTCCCGATCCGATACTTATATAATACATAAAAAAAGAATAAAGAAGAGAGAAAAAACAGATCCAGGATGTTCCTTATTTTTTTATTTAATTCACCTTATTTTAACGTTCAACAACTCTGTTAACAAACAGAGCACTTCTGTGAGGTAGCTTGAACAATCAAGTAATAAATAACATAAAATCTTCACTTTTGGACTTTAGTGCAACAGTAAATATAGAAAAAGTCTAATATAAAAACAAATAGCACCACAACTTAAAATACCCGGCAGGCATGTAAACAAAAAATAAAAATGTTTTAAAAGTGTATAAAAAAATAATGAGAATATATATATATATATATATATATATATATATATATATATATATATATATATATATACATTAGGGGTGTAACAGTTCACAAAATTTGCAGTTCGATACCATACACCAAAAAGAAAGAAATTAAGAGACATTTCCTATTTATTAAAATAAAAACTATTTTTAAATAAGTTTGAGTTTTCCTACATCTTGAAACTTTCAGGTTTATAAATGGGGGTAATCTTTGAAGGATGAACAAATAATGTTTTGGTAATCACATTAAAAATAACATTTAAATATATATTTATATAATATTTGAGTTTTGAAGTGCAACATTAAATCCATGTTTATTCACAATGTTTCTCCTGGTTTCCACGTCAGCGCTGTTTGATCTAATAGAGATCTACGGTTAATAACGGAGAAATTTTATTGCTTCTCACTAGATCTCGCAGCAATGTTATTACTTCAGTGGCGAATTCAAATGTTTTCTTCACTGGATCTCTTAGCACAGTGTCGCTTGATCTCGCGCTGCACAGATGTTGCTGGTCCGAACTGATATGGTCCGTGAAGCACAATATAATGAGAAGCGCAGTTTCGTTCCGCTTTCATTACGTTTGCCATTTGATGTTGCGCAACGTTGTGTTGATCGAGCCAGCGCGGATTTTGTCTGCAGGAAAAATGGTCCTAGGAATCGTTCGGTTTGTATGCG